CGGATCGCGGAGCCACAGAGTCCAAGTCCTCCTCAAAGGAGGTGCCGCCGCCTCCGCCGTCGGTCAGCATGCTTCGCACGCGGAGCCGGAGACACTGCAGAGTCACTCGCGGCCACCGCCGCCGCCAATCCCGGGAGCGAGAGAAGCAGCAGAAGGAAGAAGCGTCTCCTTCCCCCCGTCCCAGTAGCGCCACTAACTTCTCACTGCCTAACCTGCTGCCTCCCGCCCCCCACACTCGCCACTGGCTACAGCTCCAAAGAGGCTGCAGATCATTGGCCAAAGTAACCCGTCGCTCAGGCTCTTCGTCACGCGCCGCTCGCTGGCTCGGGGCCCCCAAGCTGCGTTGACCCGCGCAGGCCTAGGCGGTTGCGAACACCCGCCTTCTATTCCGCGCGCGCTGACTTCCGGTCTTTTTCTACGTCTATTGGTCGAATTCTCTGACTATCGCGTCACGACCTTAAAGTGGATTAGTTGGCCTTGTGGTCAGTCATAGTGACCCCTGACAGTGGGAGACTTCATTGGCGCCGTAAAGTGTCGGTCACTGTGTCACAGGACGTCGCGTGGTACAATTGGTCAGTAAGAGTACTATTCATCCTGCCCCCATCTGAGGTGACGGGAAAGGGTTGGGGAATTTCCACTTTTGATAAAAATGAAGGCTGAGGTGACGACTTGCAAGAATTGGTGAGATTTGGAGTAGAATTCGCCATACGCGCGGGAAGCTTCTATATCAAGTAAGCAAGAGACGCGGAGATAACGCAGCTCCCACCTGTCGCTCTGCGCCAGGCGCGGAGACTGCGACCCGGAGGTTTGCTGCACCGGGATTGGCGGGAAAAGTAGTCAGTCTCAGCTAGGCCCCACCTTCCCGCCAGGCCCTGGTTGGAGGAGCAGAGCGTCAGTCACTAGAGCAGTCGCTCTTCTGGGACAGGTGAGGCTGCCGCCTCTAAACTATCTGCCTCAGGCTCTTTGGGCCGGAGTAGGGGGTTGCGAGAAGTGAGGGTCAGGGCCGGTCCTGCCGCGCGCCCCCGGCCTTTCGGAACGGAGCGCAGCGCGAGGATTTCAGGAGACACTGAAGGCTGCTGAGGATGGCCGCCTGCGGACGATTCGGCCCAGGCGCGTGCCGGGACGTGGCAGTTCTACAACCTGCGGGCGGGATCGCCCCGCGGGGCCGCGTTCTCTGGCTGGTGGAAGGCAGCGGGCCCGAGGGCTGGACAGCGCCATGCCTCAGTACTGGGAACTGTCCCACGAAATGAGGGAAAAGGCACCGCGTTGAGCGCGGAGTCAGACCGCGGGGCCGAACGCCGTGGTTAAAAGGATGCGAGCGCTGGAACAGTAGTTTCGAGCTCCGGTGCCGCCACTAGTCTGCTGTGTGACCTCCGGGCGTTTGTTGTTTAATCTCAGTGACTTATAGTTCGTTCATCAGTAAAATGCGGGTCATAGTAATACCTCCCTCATCGGGTGCTGTGAATAAATTAGATAATGACATGAGGCGCTTAGCAAAGTGCCAAACATACAGTAAAAACTCATTCTTGTTAGCTACTCTACAGTTCTCCACCTACCCCCGGGTCCTGCCAACCGTGCTGATTCTTGTCGGAGCTCTGCGATGCAATGGAAGGCTGGCGAAGGGGGTCTCGTCCCCTCTAGGGAGCTCTGCCTCTATTATTTTTATCTCCTTTGCCAGTAAAGAGGGGTTTAAAAATGCTCCTGCTCCAGCCAATCCTATGATCAAAGATCACAAGAAAGACCCTTGGTGAAATTCGTATTTGTATGGCAAATGTCCTTTGACCCAGAGAATGTCTGCATGGTACTTAGCCAACGGAGACTGGCTAAAAGCAAACGATTTGGCATTGTCGCCTCTTTTGCAACTTTAACAAAGGACTTTGTATTGATTGTGCAATATTTAATATTTCAACCCCCCCCCCGAACTGGAATCTGAAAATTCTGTAAAGAATATAATGATTTTTAAAAAATGACTTTTAAAAAGATTCTGCCTAACATTTATTTAAAGAACGTTTTGAAGATTGTAAAAATTGCTTTGGTTTAGTCATTGCTCATTTGGCATTTCACATGCAAAAAAAAAAAAAAAAAAAAGGACAGTGTTTCCTATGAGCAGAGCATGTTAGGTAAATGTTCTTCCTAGTTAATAAGTTGTGAAAAAAAATGGGAAAAGAGTCTGGTACCTTTTCTAGAAAACTATTTTGATGTAAATGCCAAGTACACACTGGCTGTAGTTAGAATTTGTGGCACTTAATTAGCCCATATCCTCAGTGCTGTTTAAGTTTTTAAGGCCATGTGTGACTAGGTCACAGCCCAAACTAATAACACCAACAAAAGAAACCCAGCACTGCCCATCCCACTTCAAAGCTGGATTATCCAGAATTGGTATGGATATATCCTTAGGCAAAAACAGGTATTGACTGGTGCAACATTACAAAGGAACTATTTGTCATTCCTACCACCAATACAAAAGTAATTTCTGATGCAACTCCCTGAACAAATTCATTAAATTCTTTAAACAAATGTAATGGAACTCAAGGGCAGAGGAAATTTAGGTGTATACATCTTTTTCCAGTATGAGACAAAAATATTCTCTCAGTATATAAAAAAAAAATACTCCTCAATACCTAGCAACCAACCCTGCTGTTAGCCAGGAAAATATGATTGAGCAACAATCTTTTTTTTCTCCTGGACCTTTACCTAAGTCACTGTCAGTAGTTTGACAGTAAGTATGGGAGTTAGGAACTCCCAATCTCCTAGACTTAGTGACTGCTATATAAGGTCTGTATTTAAAATCATTTAATATTTCCATATAAACCACATTCATGTGGTTTTACAAATGTGAAAACTAACTGGTGAATATATAAATTCTCACTCAATGTATTCAATGTAAAATATTAATAAGTATTAGTGTGATTTGGTGGGTAATCTTAGTTCCAGTATGTTATCTCTTAAGATTATATTTCCTAGTAAAAAAAGGTAATACACTGATTTTTCAAATGTTTAATAAGTTGTAGAAAGAAAAATCCTTCTTAAAAGTATTTTTGTTAGAAAAGAGCATTAGAATAAATGTTTTCCCTTAGAAAATGAGTAGGACTATAAATTGGGGTGGAATTGTACTTGGTTTCAAAACACTCTCTTCCACCCTGGTGGGTATGGCTCAGTTGGTTGGGCGTGGTCCCGTGCACAGAAAGGTCGGCAGTTCAATTCCCAGTCCAAGTTGTGGGTTAGGTCCCCAGTCAGGAGGCAACCCATCAATGTTTCTCTCTCTCCATCAGTGTTTCTCTCTGTGTCTCTCCCTCTCTCTTCCTCCCCTTAAAATCAATTAAAATATATTTTAAAGGGAGATGAATTCCTGAAAACATTAAAAACAACAATACCCTTTTCTAACCATCTTTCACATAGGGAAGGAAAAGGAAAGGGGAAACATTGTATAGACCAAGAATTTTTAAAACTTCTGAGGTAATAAAAGACTAAATTCCTCATAAGAAATTTGAGGTTGCCCTGGCTGGTGTGGCTCAGTGGAGAGAGCGTCGGCCTGCGGACTGAAGGGTCCCGGGTTTGATTCCGGTCAGGGCACATGCCTGGGTTGCGGGCTCAATCCCCAGTAGGGGGCATGCAGGAGGCAGCCAATCCATGATTCTCCCTCATCATTGATGTTTCTATCTCTCTCCCTTCCTGTCTGAAATCAATAAAAATAATTTTTAAAAAAAGTTTGCTCATTTTCCTATTAAATCATCAGTCTTTTAAAATTAAAAAAAAAAACATATGAGGTTGACAAACTAGATTGTACATACAGGGACTTTAGCTACAGATAGGTCTCTCATTTCAATCTGCATTTCCTCAAGATATTTAATTTCTGTATGTCAGTCCAGGCCATTATATGGAATAGCTAGGATTTGAATTTAGTTCTGCCTCACCTCAAAACACATGCTCTTCCCACTTATCACATTGATTTCATGTTACCATCCATGGCAGAGGAACTTTGTCAATCATTAATCTGTTATAATACTCCAAACATTATAGCCTTCTTATAAACCCGCTAATTAACTGTGTAGTTGGAGTTATCCCTAACTATCACCCACCACATTTGCTATCCTTCTCCCTTTTTAACAGTTGGAAACATTTAACTTATCTTCTCATTTCTCCAACTATATTGTTTCTTAGACCATGTGATTTCATGTTTAAAAATCTAAATAGTTGCCCTAGCCGGTTTGGCTCAGTGGATAGGCCATCAGCCTGTGGACTGAAGGGTCTCAGATTCGATTCCGGCCAAGGGCACATACCCAGGTTGCGGGCTCGATCCCCAGTGTGGGGTGTGTAGGAGGCAGCCAATCAATGATTCTCTCTTATCGTTGATGTTTCTATCTCTCTCTCCCTCCCCCTTCCTCTCTAAAATCAATAAAAATATATACATATAAAATAAAAAATATAAGTAGTTAATATTTTTACATGGTTCAAATTTTAAGAATTATTTTAAGAATATGATAAAAAGGAGTCTTTTACATTGCCCACTAAACACCCAGATTCCCTTTCACAAGAAAACTATATTATTAGGCTATTAAATATCATTCTAGAGATTTTATACATATAAAAGCAATTCTATACATGTCAGTTTATTTTTTGCCTTTTTAACACAAGCAACAGCATACTATACACACTTTTGTATCTTGCTTTTTGTCACCTAATTTATTCTAAGGTATTCTATGTTAGTATTTAGAGAACTCTGTCATTCTTGTTTTCTGCTTCATACTATTCTGTTGACTGATTATGCCATTTATTTGTCCAGTTCTGTAATGATGGACAGTTAGATTGTTTCTCCTTTTTTGGGGAGGTGGTAGAACAAACAATGCTACAGATGTCTAACTTTCTAACCTACTCTCTATCCTCCAGGAAGCACTTGTGGTAATGAATTGCTTTTCTCTTACTGCTTTTAAGATTCTGTCTCTGTCTTTAACTTTTTGCATTTTAATTATGATGTGTTTGGTGTGGGCCTTTGGGGTTCATCTTGTTTGGGACTCTGTACTTCCTGGACTTGTATGTCTATTTCCTTCATTAGGTTAGGGAAGTTTTCTATCATTATTTTTTCAAATAGGTCTTCAATTTCTTGCTCTCTCTCTTCTCCTTATGGCATCCCTATGATGCGAATGTTGGTACAATTGAAGTTATCCCAGAGGCTTCTTACACTATCTTCATTTTGGGGGGATAATTTTTTCTTTTTGCTCTTCTGATT